GGCACTCTCGACCGCTGAAGCTGAATATATCTCCGCTGGAAGTTGTTGCTCTCAGCTCATGTGGATGAAGCAAATGATGATTGAGTTTGGCCTTGAGGTAAGAACTGTTAACCTTTTTTGTGATAATACCAGTGCAATTAATATCTCTAAAAATCCAGTTCAGCATTCTCGAACTAAACACATAGATATCCGGTATCACTTTATTAGAGATTTGGTTGAGAATGATGTGATTGTTCTTGAACATGTTCCTACTCAAAACCAGTTGGCTGACATATTCACTAAAGCGCTGGATTCTCAACGGTTCACTTCTCTAAGGAAATCCTTAGGGATCTGTTCATACTGAGTGCTTGTGTGTATTTGCATTATATTATATTGTATTGTATACTAGTATCTATTATATTTGCATTGTGTGTAAGCATATAGGGTATATGGCATTAGGCATGTCCTTGCATTATGCATTCTCCTCAACACTAAATTCTTAATTGACGTTCTGATCCTTACTGAAAAACCTGGGTGATGTTAGCGGTTCTAGGCTGACTGCGAGTTCTTATTGGATTGAGGAACATAGTTATTTTCAGTATTTTTGTTTTTCTTTTGTCACAAAGAGCTGCCTTCTCATAAATGATCTAGAGCGATAGCTAGCACATGGCTCGTTTCCCAAAGCGGGATCGACTGTGAAAAGAGCGTCTTGGACAGAAAATGTTGAGAAGGGTGTAAGCTAGTGACACACACTGCATACTACTATGTGGTGCTCTTATGCGAAGCTATAAGGTGGTCACCCTCATAAAAACCGTAGTGCGTGTTATTTTTTTAAAAAAAAAAAAAAAAAAAAATTGGGATCCTTGCTGAAAATTGTAGTGCAAAGTAATGGGGTCGACTTTCACTATTGCAGTGATTGTTACTAAGTGAAATGCACTATAAATAATAACGCATGTGTTCTTTCGAAAAAAAAAATATATTGGAAGTCGTGGTTCGCACTACTCTGTGTATATACATATATCCGTTTAATCTATGTTCCTCGGAAGGTTTGAATCTCAAAGTTGGTCTATGATTGTTGCCGTCATTCTTGTCTAAGTTGGGAAAGAAAAGATCTTATGATTTTAGTGAATTTTGTGTGCGATTTTTATTCCTTTTTCATAATTAGGCATGTTTGCATATGATTTCCTTTTTGTACGTGTTCCAAGAGTTTGTGCAGGACGTCTTCATGGATAAAATCTGATTTCTTTCCTAAATTTCAAAATACTGCGAGCCGTTATTGATGTGGAAAGTTATGGTATGTTTGAATTTGGATTATTGGAGGAATTAATTACACTAACCATTTTTGAATTTTCTCTCTCTCTCTCTCTCTCTCCTAAAACCGCTCTCCTTACCACCTTGATTTTCGGAACCTACCTTTTGCGGTTTTCTAAGATCCAACGTCTCTTAACCGATCTTACACACGTTCTCCTTATTTTATTCCACTTTATTGGTTCCTTCTTATCTCTCTCTCACTTTTGCTCACCCATACCGATTGAAACCCTAAATCCCTTTCTCTCAATCGTCAATCTTCTCCCATGGCTGGCGGCAAAGACAAAGCGAAGCGCCGACTTCAGAAGCAAAAAGAGAAGCGACTTAAGCGTCGTCGACTCTCCTTGTCCACTGGATCTGCTCGTGAACCTTCGCCACCAGCGAAAGAACCGACTCCTGAATCCTCGCAGTCGAAATCGGCTTCACTAGCCTCTTCGTCATCTGGGTCTCAGTCTAAATCTGACAATGTTCGCAAGAATCTTGAAGTTTCACCTCTTGCCACTGGAGTTCCTGGACTTTCTGGACATGTTGATGCCCTCGCCGTCTCGACTCAGGGGGAGTCTTCTGCCGTTCCCACTTCTGCAACTAAGTCGGTCACCAAGACGACTACTGCCGAAAGGGAAAAAGATGATACGGCTGCTACCACTGTTGAAGTCCATTCTGACCAGCCCTCACCACCTTCGAAGGTTCCAGTTCGTCGTTCCACCCGTCGACGTGGGAAGGCCATTGACGAGCCCCTTGTCCCTCCTGAACCTGAAGATGATGCGTATGATCTGGAGAACACCTTCACCAATCGGTTCTATACAGAAGCGGCGCACGAACGCTTTGTTAATTTTGGGTCTTATGAGTTCTGGTCGGAACATCCTGTGACTGATGGTAAGTTTGCTGAACTCGGTGTTCTTCGTCTGATTGAGCAAGTAGGTCTTTCCAAGACCGTGTCTGATGTTAAGCCCTTTTGTGGCCAAGCTGTTAAGGAATTCTACGCTAACCTTACTCCTGCTGTGTTTGATCCTGCTAGCCCTCGTTATTATAAACTTTTCCTTCGTAACCGTGTGATTGATGTGTCTCCCGCTTTGATTAATGCTCATCTTGGTTTGCCCTCTGATCTTGATAGTTCTTCCCTTGTTGATCTTGATTCTGATGAAATGACCAGAGTTCTCACTTCTGGTCAGTTGGATACTTGGCCTGGTTCAAACCTGTCTGTGAACTCTCTTTGCTTGGTTGCAAATTTGCTGCATAAGATTGGTGCTGGCAACTGGACCCCCACTTCCAATAAGACCCTGCTTACAGAGCTGCAATGCAAAGTCATTTATTGGGTGATGATTGGGAAAGTTTTCAGCTTTGGGGACCTTGTCTTTCAAATTCTTCAGAACTTTGTTGCCAACAATGAGTCTCGTAAAACCCTTCCCTTTCCTTGCCTCATTTGGTCCTTTCTGTCGGCTCATAACTTTTCTGTTAATCTTCGCTTCCAAGACTCCCTTGAGAATCCCAGGAAAGCACTCTCTGTTAGTGCTCGCACTCTGAATGAGAAAGGAATCTCCAAGTCTACGAAGGAACTCGCTCCTTCCTTGGTTCCAAAGAACTGGGGTGAGTTTGTGGCTCAACAACTTGGAGAATGGGATGCTTTGGCCAAGCGAGTTGCAGCCCAACAGGCGTATCTTCGGCAAGTGCTGCAGGCTGTCAAGGGATCGACTCGTACCTCGGGGACAGGCCCTTCGGCATCCCGTAGTTCGAAAAAGGGGGAGAAAAGCAAGAGCAATGAGAATGATGATGACGAGTCTGATGCTACTGAAAAACTTGGAGATGATGAGTAGTTAGTTTGGGATCGTTGTAGTTCGTTTCCTTTTGTTTCTTTGTGTGTTTTGAGGATTGTAGGAAAACTTGTTATTTGCGTTTGGTTGTTTGCTGTTTGTTACTAAGTTTGTTTGATGGGAATTATTGCAGTTGTTTTGGTGTTCTTACTGCCTATGTTTGAAATGAATTTAGAAGCATTCTATTGAATTTTGATGACTGCAGGAACTAAGGGGGAGAACTACTTTAAGGAGATCTTGAGATGTATTGGTCTAATCGTTGCTTGAGTTTATCTGTGGTTGCTTGTTGTTTTTATTGCTGTAGGAGACTTTCAAGTCTGATGTTTTCGAACTAGATGCCAAAGGGGGAGATTGAAAGATATTTTATTTTGGCATTAGTTCGATAGTTCGAACAAGCACCTGGAACCACCGAATAAAAAGGGAAGATCTTTGTGTGTTATATTTCCTTAAGTAATATTGTTTTATTTTCCTTATATGAGTTCATGTTGATCTTATTACGGTTATGATGCTTTAGGAAATTTCGTGAGGTGAGATAAAGAAGGAGAAAAGAGACATGCTTGGAGAGGAGATCAAGAGAGAGAATAAAAGATTTCCTTACCAAAGATATGCTATTATTTTGGAAGGAAATCTTGAATGAAGACCTATGCCTTGTAGAAGACTCCAACCCTAAGGAGATCATATATATACCCTAGAAGAAGCTTATGGCGGCGGTGATTTTTTGGATACAGAGAAATAATTGAGCGCCATTCAAGCTTCGTTTTGTTTTTCAGTTCTATCTTTGATTGTATTCAGTTCAGTCTAAGAGTTCTTACAAACTCAAGGACTAGTACTGCCTTCGTTTTGTTCTTTAGTCATTTCATCAAAACTATTTCACGATTTGTACACTTAGGGAATAAGTGTAGGTGTTTAAGTCCACGGGACGTGGCCGGAGGATTAGTTGATAGGATCAAGTAGTGTTGGCTAGATTTGAAGGGAGTTCGAATCTTTGTAAGTCCAAACTATGTGTACGAGTGATCTATCAATGAAAGAGCTCTGAGGGGAAGTGGGACGCTTCCCTGAAGAGTTTGAACATCTTCGGTTGTTTGCTTCCGCATTTTACAATTCTTATTATTGTTCTTACTATAACTCGCGCACTCCGTGACAAATATAAGTTTCAATTATATTTTACAATTCTTATATAAAAAGACTTGGCAAATAAAAATAACAAAATTACTTATTAAAGTCATATTCATATTTCACTATATATGGATACGTATCGATCAACTAATAGAATTAATGACCATTTTAAAAATTGAAACATGAAAATCTTTTCCCTTTTAACACATTCCATTATAGATTCACTCCTATCTCCCTATAATTCCACTTCCCATTACAATGGGCAAGTGTGAGCTATCCTTGGCTCGACAAGTGGTGATATCTAATTCAACCACATGTCACTGGATGACATGGACACAAGACTTCAACCTTCCACACCCAACCCTAATTATTCAGGTTGAGTCAATTATGGATATCAAAAGGAGCAAAATTACACAAATCAACTCCAATTATCAAGCCAACAGAAAAAAAAAATGCAAAAAAAAAGATAAAGCATGCAATTAACAGACATATATATAAAATAAAAGGAAAAAGAAATGAAATTCTTCAGATAAAAGGAAAGCCCCAAAAGCATATAATAAAAACATCCTTTGCCACAAAAAATGAACTCCCTAGCTAGTGAGGTGGTGTGAATTGCTACCCCACTCCCACTATCTAAGAAATAATATTGCTTTTTTTTTTTCTTTTAAATAAAAACAAAAAGAAAAATAAAAAAATAATCTCTTTATCTTTCTCTTCTCAAATTTTCACTCTTCTCCCTCAAAAACAGAAAAAAAAGGAGGACGAATAATAAAAAGGCGCGTGGCGATGAAAAACGCGATCAGATGCTGCATTTCGTGTATTCTGCCGTGTGGGGCCCTCGACGTCATCAGAATCGTTCACGCCAACGGCCGCGTCGAGGAGATCAGCGGCACCGTTAGCGCGGCCGAGATCATGAAGCTCCACCCCAAGCACGTCCTCAAGAAGCCCTCCTCCTCGCCGCCGCCGCCGTCCGCCGCCGGCGGCGCCGGCCGCAGGATCGTCGTGGTTCCGCCGGACGCTGAGCTCCAGCGCGGGAAGATTTATTTCCTCATGCCGGCGCCGCCGCCTCCCCCGCCGGAAAAATCACGATCGAGAGCGCCGGCGAAGAGGAGGAGCGGCGGTAAGAAGAAAAATAGTAATAATAATAATAATAATTCGGGTGAGAATCTGCTGATTTCGGATCGTTATTTGAGCGAGATTTTGTCGGAGAGGGTTTCGACTCAGAGGGATCGGCGGCGGGGCCGCGTCGGAGTGTGGCGGCCGCATTTGGAGAGCATTTCTGAG